TGACCCTGACATCTTGCAAACTTCATGATAGAAAATACGTGCTTAGAAATGTTAATTTATGAATCCAATGACAACTACCGGCATTATAGGTGATAATAATGATCTTTTACATATTCCCAATTTCCAGGAGGTAAGTAGTAAGTAGTGTGTAGAATGCTTGTAACTAACCTTTAAATTGATTTTAATCTCTTCGTAACGGGACTAGGGTAAGATTGAAGAAAAGAGGGCTTCCACAGCCCGTTACATAGAGATAGTAACCAAAGTTACGCTTTAAGTAAAAGATGGAGGCGGGTCAGATATAGAACAAGAAAAGATGAGTTCTCCTCTGGCCACATGAATCTCCTGAGGGCTTCGAAATTATTTACTTCCAATGCTTTCTTTTCAAACATAGAACTGTCCAGACATTTCCAGATGTGTAGCCAATAGCCAATATATTTTTTATTTCACTGGCAATAAAGAGTTAAATGTAAATATTGCTGCTGGGGTGAGTGAAATATGTGGAATAACACTTCCAGTGGAAACTTGGCAGTTCTTTGCATACCGTGAAGGCAGTTGGCGTGAATACGTGTGCATAGATTAACATGGCTATACATATAAAATGTATCAACTACAACTGCTTTGCATATTCACTTTGATTACCAATGTTGTTACACATTTTCAAAGAAAGAAAAGAGCGAACAAAGTGAAATCGCAAGCGATGTTCGGCTCATGTCAAAGCTATGGTGAAGCCCTCCAAATCGCAAGCTTTATAAGCAAACTACAGAGGGGTGGATGGGATGGGAGATAATTTATTGTAACCAACATGTTAGAATTAAATGACAAAGCCTTATGGTGAAATGAAATTCAAAGATGTAGTAACATATGGTCACATTGAAATGCACATATTTAGAGTTACACCATTGGTGGCGTCATTTGTGGTTATTGTATAAGTTTTAAATGTGTTTTCTGACTCTGTAATTTAAAAAAAAAAACTCAAAATGGTCAATTTCCTTAAAAATGAGTTTATTCACCGAAGCATGAATTCTAGTGATTTCAAATCCGAAAGGTAAAATTAAAGTTGTAAAGTGGCTGCCCAAGTCGAGAACAATAAAAATGGTAAAAAAATACAAATAAAAAAAGATCAAAGGAAATACAAAATAACATTTCAAGGTTACTCAGAAGGAAAAGAACCAATTAAACAAGGCGTCTACTATATCACATCATTAACATCCAATGCTTACAGATAGAGATGGTTTATCATAAGAGGCAGGAATGGAAAAATAAAAGATTAAAGATGGAAAAAATGTGTGAAGTAGACAAGGTGTTATAGGGGAAACAGACAGGTCAGATAGAAGGAGCAGAGAAGGATTCCAGGCAAGGAAGCTATATGTTCTAAAATATAGGGTATCTGTCATAGAATATCGCTGCCATCTGCTCCATGGATACATTTGATACTTTTCTTAATAAGTTGCCCATGAAGGTGAATTTGTACAATGCCAAGCAGTTGCAGGGCAGGATCTTTCTAGTCTGGCCTGCACGCTCTATTTCAGCAACTGCCTTTGGAGGGGTGGGGGGGGGGTTAAGATCCATACGTATAAACCTTTTTTACCCCCTTATCATCTCCCGCTCTGAATGAGACAAACTTAGGATGAGATCTATAGCTCAGGTGTCACCATACACACACACCTCATGTTTCAAACCTTTTAAAACTATGTACAACATGAGATAAGATAGTTTGTAGCACAGATTACACTAGGAAGAGTAAATGTACCTGGTGGTACTTTACTGGGTCTGACTATGTAAAATACAGTGATATATTAATTTTTATGTTTTTGTTTGTTTGTTTGTTTGTCGGAACATCCACCAATTTCCAACGTTTTCAAAGTCTCACTTACACACAGAGCATTTACGAGTAAGTGTGTAGTGTGTGAATGCTTATCTATACGTGTAAAGTTTATTTCAGTCATTTGTGAATACATCAATATCGTTTGTGTGTTAATGTACTGTATATGTCTGCATTCAGTATGTGTCTCAGGATATATACATATGAAGACATGTTTACAAATGATAATATCAGCGCTATGGAATTTGCTGGCGCTTTATAAATAATAAAATAATAATAGTAATATATATGTGTGTGTGTGAGGTATTTTTTAGGGGAAATAAACTTTGGATATCAAAAACATTTATGTCTATCCTTTTGTCAAGGTCAGGTGGTGGCACGCAATCTACTTAGTAAAGGACATCTACAATTCTGAGTGTTTCTTCTTCACTTTAAAAAATTATTAACGGATTTTAGTATGTAAATGGAACCAAAGGAAATCAATGACTAAAACACTCTCCACTCCCCAAATATAAAATAAATAGTTTAGTAGATACACCACCATTAAATAGTTGCATGCATTTAATTATGCATTTTTTTTCATTGGGGGTATATAAAAAAAGAGCTTGGAAAACCTGCAGATCTCTTGTCTGCAGCCTCTGCAAGCCCTCCCCTTCTCCCCAGACCATACATTCTGTCGCTGTCTAATCACAGACGTTCCAATGTACTCAATGAGAAGTCTTTGCAAGCAGGGCCGGCTAAACCACTGATTTTTCACTAGGCAGAAGATTCTTCACTTTATCACACATTATTGTCCTTGAAATGATTCTCACTAATCTCGCATTCCCTTTGTTATCTAGACCAGAGATTGCCAAAAAGCTAAATCTCCAGGTGTAGTTTACTTTGATTTAAACTGCGTGTTCCTTGGGTGTGCATCCAATTAATCACAGCTCGGGATGTCCTGGAAGCAGTCAGTACTTGCTTGTAACTTTACTCTTTGCACCTGTTTTCGGATGTGTACAATGTCAAGACTGAAGGTTCTGCAGATAGATTGTATCTACAGAATGTTTACAACCTCACTGCACGGGGTCTTACCTTTTCTGGGCTGGATTCATCCAAATGAAATGTATTATCATATATATTATGATATCTTATAGAATTAAATTCTAGCCATCTAACTCCTATGAAATAACCTTTTGTAGACAGGGCCAGACTGGGGATACAAAGCAGCCCTGGAAAAAAAAACCTATGCCAGTCCCATAAGTCATTGGGCCATGTATTGTGTGTAATATATATATAACATATCATGCACACACACAAGCTCACTCAGCAGCAGGCACACACACACACACACACACCACTCACTCACTAGCAGCCACACACACACACGTTGACTCACTAGCAGCCACACACACAAATACACAACTCACTAGCAGCCACACACACACACAACTCACTCACTAGCAGCCACACACACACACCTCACTCACTAGCAGACACACACGCAACTCACTGACTAGCAGCCACCAACAAACACACAAGTTCACTCACTATCAGGCACACACACACACAACACAATCACTAGCAGCCACACACACACAACTCACTCACTAGCAGCCAGACACACACACACACACGTTCACTCACTATCAGGTACACACACACACACACACAGGTTCACTCACTAACAGGCACACACAAGTTCACTCACTATCAGGCATAAGGCGCACACACACACACACACAAGGTCACTCACTATCAGATACACACACACACACAAAAGTTCACTCACTATCAGGCACACAGACACATGTTCACTCACTAACAGGCACACACACACACAAGCTTACTCACTAGCAAGCACACACACAGGTTCACTCACTAACAGGCACACACACACAGGTTCACACTAGCAGGCACACACACACACACATACACATACAGGCTCGCTCACTAGCAAGCACACACACACAAACACGCTCACTCACTAGCAGCCACACACACACACACACAGTCATGGCTGAAGCTTACCTGGCACTGGTGGGTGAAGTTGCCAATTTGTGACCGCTTCCTCCCAGAGAGGTCAGCAACGCGCTGGAGGCGCAACATCCTTTCAGGAGGCGGGACTTGCATTCTGGGGCGGGACATGCGGCCAAAATTGAGGTAAATAGTGCAGGGAGATTGACAGGTCTCCCTCCGGCCACAGACAGCCTAATTGCGGCCGCACCAGCCCCAAGCTCCTCCCTCTTTACTCCCCTCGGCCTGACACAGGCTGGCACAATCTAAGGGGAAATTTATTTAAATTGCTGTCTGCCTGGCCCCAGGTGCCACGCCCACTGGGAAATTTCCCAGTATCCCGGTGGGCCAGTCCGGCCCTGCAGAGGGCCCTATGGGAGGGTACTCCAAAAAGTCTGGACTCCTTGTTGGAGGGCAGACCAAGGACTCCATTGGACATCCTTCGCTACATGCAACTGGCCCATTAATATAACTCGCTCCCAAAGAGCGGTCGCAGGTCTGCAGAGCTCCGGCGAACAATCGACAACAAAGCCACAAAAAAATGCTTAACTCATGCAAAACTAACCCAGACTGTACCCCTGATACCGGGGAAGACATGGGGAAACGCTCCAAGAAACTCAAAACACAAGCAGGAGACAGGCACCGAAGCATTGGGGAACTCTTCCACATGCAGCCTAAACCTAAAATGGTGGCACTGCCTGAAAACCAAGACTCCTCATCCGAATCAGAGGAACTGCTAGACGCCCCAGACCCAATACTAGAGGCTGCTCAATCCACACCCCACGCTCTAACAGGGGACCGTGCAGCTCCGGCCACCAAGGGGGACATCATGGACCTTAAGGTCCACCTTCGGACCTTTTTAGAGCTGATCTGGCAGTGGTGCAGGAGGAGGTGGCAGTAGTTACGGACAGGATCCAAGCAGCAGAGGAAGACATTACCTCGCTCTCCCAAGCTCAGGTTGGTACATCGGAGCAAGTCCGCCAAATACAAACATCACTTGAAGACGTGCAGAAGAGATTGAATGCGATGGATGATGCACGCCGCCGCAAGAACATCAAGGTGCGGGGCTTGGCGGAGTCGGTCACGCCTGAGGAACTACCGCATTATTTCAGGCGCCTATTTGCGGCCTTACTGCCACACAAACATACCAAACAAGCTATGGTGGATGGCATCCACCGACTCCCTAAATCCCCGAAGGCACCGACTGCAGCTCCCAGAGATGTCCTGATCCTTCACATCTTTCAGGGACAAAAAAGCGATCCAAGAGGCATTGAGGTCTTAAGTCCCGTTCGAACTCGAAGGCATGCAACTTACCTTCCTTCAGGACTTATGCAGAGCTACGCTTGACTGGAGGCCATCGGTCCAGGAGGTTACGAAGACACTCAGGGAGGCAGGAATCACCTACAGATGGGGGCCGCCCCACACTCTGACAGCCAGAATAGATGGCACAACCTTCCGACTCACAGCATCAGAGGCTTCCCAATCGTTTCTGGCGTAGCTGGGCCTGGCCCGGGAATCGACCTCCACATCGACGGCGCACTCCTCCTGAGATGTTCGAAATATTATCCCCTTTGTCCCACACAAGGGAACGGACACAGGTTGAGGCACCTCAGGTGGACGAGAGACTGCCCGCTGGGAGAATAGACAGCAAAGGCCAACTCCAAAACACCGTTCCCCCCCATAACGACGGACTGCTCTAAGTTCTCTTTAGCTTAACATTTCTACTGTTATTTTTGTGTTATACTCCTTAGTTCTAAACTCTTACAGCTATTACCTCATATTTAAACGAAGAATGGCAACACCTTAGGATAGAACCCCCAGACCCACACATAGCTACTCCCCTCCCCCCCTTTATGTCGCCCAGGAGTTACCAGGCGAAGCAAATGGAGCGGCTTACGCCGATAGGGCCTGATCTACTGTTAACAACCACGGATCCTCACCGTAGGCCTCCCTCGCTATTGGCACTACACAACCCCCCTCCACATACCCTTACGTGGGAGCCGCTCGGTGGCGCTAACTACGGCTCAGAGGCTCACCAGGGCCACAACCTGACCCCTTCCTTGGCGTACATTCAGGCCCACAATTAAACCCTCAAGGGCCAATGAGGGGACCCCATGGGATAACCCAAGGGCCCTAACTAACAACAAATCTTCACGGTCTCTATGCCGCTCCAACCAACCAAGGACCGGCATCTATTCCAGAAATATCCTCACACCAAAACATATCCTCAGTTCTCACACACACAGGGACTGATGTATACAGGGCATCACAAATAATAGTCTCCCGCACATATCACTGTCCATGTTGGAAGTCCCGGCGTACTGGAAACGGACGGAGGTCCCTCTGATGGATGAGTGGATTCACAGGGTAGAGGACATTCAGGCTGCGGAAGCACTCCATGCCACACTATTGGGTAGCGGGGCCAGACACGCGGAGACATGGCAGCCATGGTTCACGTATATGGACCGAAACCTGTAAGTAAAAGTGATAAGCGATTAACAAGGAGGTGGGGGGCCTCAGAGGGGGCTTGACAGCCACAGACAATGACCATTCCTTCCCACTCTATACCCCTCCCATTTATACCTACCTCTCCTTTGCAGTATCTTCTCTTAGACCCACTCCGGGTCCCTTAGGGATGTTCGGAGGACTCAGCTAAGGGAGTACACAGACAGAGCAGCATCATTTGAGCCCCTTCCCCATTAAGATAACTCAGAAACAGATCACAATCTTACACATGGGGTTTGGGGCTGTCGATAAAAGACAGTGGGAGGGTTGACATGCGGCACTGACAGTGGTCTCCGCGCATGGCGGATAGCTATATATTTTTCGTAAATAGGAGACACAAGGTAAGGCCCGTGCATTCTACCTGACATACTATCGGCATACACCAGCCTGAAGCACCTTACAATCCCTAACTCACCTAGAACCGGCAATAAATACTACAATCAACTATGATTCCCTCTAAATAATGTCAACCCATAAAGAACAATTTGACCTACTAATGTAACATGTCAACCATACTATACGCTATATAAAGTCTATACTTATGTCATACCGCAATAGGGACCTGCGTGTCCCGAGATGAATATTTTTCCTGCTACGTGTAAAATGAAAAAATTCTCAATAAAAACTAATTTTAAAAAATAAATAAATATTGAACTTAAAGAAAAAATCAAACACCATAACCCCCTACAGCCTGCTGAAGGGCCATGGTGACATCCCAAAATATGTTTATAGTACAGTTTGACAACTTACCTGAGTCCAATCTGACATCAGGTTTCGCCTGCAAAGGAAGCTTGATTTCTCTGTAGAATAAAACAAGGCCAATACCATGGCTGAGAGTGATCAGCTTACGTTCTGAAACAGACAGCGCAGTCCTGCAGCGCTCTGCTATGATGTATGGAGCAGTTTGGATTTCCTGCTGCAGAAGACGGAAAGCAGTGGAATGAGCTATAGCGGTTATGGTGCCTGGAGTGTTCCTGTAAAAATGTCAGAGGATTGAGCAGTGAGACTGCAGGGGCATGATCTATACACCAAAACTGCCTTATAAAGCTAAACTTGTTTTGGTGACTATAGTGTCCCTTTAAGTAGTGTTAAGGGCTAGGGAAGGCTTTTGGTAGGTTAAAGGGCCTCAACGTTAAAAGAGACTGGATTCAAGCCTGCCTCTAAGTCTAAGGCCTCCGCAACCAGAAAATTGCAGGCTCCCGTAATCCTAAACTCCTTACTAACTATTTTGCATCCTTAGCCTAAACTTCCTCCTAAACTTGTGCTTACCGTAGTGATGTTGTAATAATTTAGTAATTAAGACGTAATGTTGCTGCGTTCTAATATAGCAATATTACAGTGGCTGCATTGTCAGCATTTATACTTTCCTGGTTTAATTGCAACATTCTAAATGAATGTGACCCTAAACATTTCAGTAAATCTTATTCCTTGGTTCATTTCAATTATTTTTTTTGGGCACAGAGACCCCTACTGGTCTAAGAAGAGTACGACGGCTACATCTATGAGAAAAGGTTCAGTAATTATTATATTAATTAACAAAGGAAAACAAAATAGCTAATTAAAGGTATGTAAATTAGTTAACTCTTACATTGCCATATACACAGGGCAGATATAAGTACAGCACTGCTGTACAAATTCCAAACACACGTGTGCATGTACAACATTATTCTGTTAGATACCCAAGCATGCAGGCACACACCCACAGCATTATGGGACAGCACAGAAGTGCAGCAGCTTGTTTTTTTTACTTACCTCCACTGCATTATTCACCCCAGTAAACACAGAAAAAGAAGTGATGTCAGCAGAAACCCACAGGAAACCATTGATTCACTACTTTCCTATGGGGAAGGCCTAATCGGCACTTGGCGCTCACTGCGCATACGGATTAGGTCCCCCCAGCAGTGGACATCCGCGGAGTCTTCCCTCTTCCGACGACAGCGCTGAATGCGTGCGCATTCTATCAGTCCATAGGAAAGCATTACTCAATGCTTTTCTATGGACGTCAGAGCGGAAGAGCGGCTGTCAATGAAACAGCCACTAGAGGCTGGATTAACCCTCTTTCTCTGAGACTGCCCAGCTTTCTCTGAGACTGCTATGTTTACAGCTGCAGGGTTAACCCTAGATGGACCTGGCACCCAGACCACTTCATTGAGCTGAGGTGGTCTGGGTGCCTATAGTGGTCCTTTAAGAGGATTGTGATTTTTTTTTTTATATGTTACAATATGCTACACATATCTGATAAAATATATGTGATGCTTCCTAAATGTGTCTATTTTCCTTTGTAAATTAATATAATAATTAGTTACTGAACTCATTCTGAATTAGTGTGTGTGTGTGTGTGTAAAGCACGAGGACACCCAGCATCGTTTCACGGAGTGAAACTCCATGAAATAGCAGGAATCAACTCTAGTAGCTGTTTGGGAGACAGCCACTAGGGGCAGTCTTAGCACTGAAATGTAAACATTGCAGTTTCTCTATAACTGAGATGAAGTGGAATGTGTGCCTATACTGTCCCTTTAAAGTGGTTCTGTACTTTGTAGGTTGACAAAGGGTGGAGCTTTAGTCAAATTCCATGGACTTTTTAAGCTTTGCTAATGGAAAGCTAGTTCTTTATACACCTCCCTCCAGTGTGACTTCCAGGAGATGTGTGTCGTGGATCCTCTGAGTTGTCTCTTGCGTGACAGGTTTACTGGTGTTCTGGGCATGTGAGTGATTTCACATGCTTTAGGAAGGGCAGAAGATGGTATTTCCAGTGGCTGCCATGTTAGAAACACTAAAATGGCAGTGCTGTGAAAGAACTTCCAATGGGACTGGCACAACTTTAAAAAAGGTAAGTTGCACTGGTTTCAGGGTGAATAAAAGTTGTGGGGGGACCATTCCTCCATACTCGGTACACACTGCCAACATGCCCCCTACACGGATATTTGTAGGTGCTCCCTAACTCTTCTGTCTCTCAATGCAAAAGGTCTTAACGTCTTAAGAAGAAAATATACAATGTCCTTGGGAGGTTTCAAAGTCACAGAGCACATATAGTCCTACACAGTCATACATACAGGAAAGGCACTTTAAAGAGGGACGTTTCCCCACTCTGTCAGCAACATGTATTTTAATGTTATCGTCTCTTTAAATAATTGTGCCGTTAGGCAGACAGCTTTCCTTTCGGTATCCCAAGTCTGGCGCTCAATGACGGGGAGAGGCGACCGATCTCACAGCTCTGAAGGTGCATTTGGAAGCAATTCTTGCGCAGCCTCATTCCCCCCTTTGGACCGGTAAGGGGGGTTATCCCAGTCCCCACTGGGGTTTACAGCTTATGAGGTAGTAATCTACTTGATCAGTGCCACATGGCGCATCCAAGATGGTTGCCGTGTCAGGACTTCATCCCTGCCAGGAGGACCTCAAAGTTCAAGACTGGAGAGAATTCTTCAGTTCTAGGTTTCATGCTCTCTGCCAGGAGGAACTTCCTCAGCGACAAGGTTCTCACCCTTCCTAATCCTGTAATGCCTAAGGCAACCAATGTGACTTTGCATCGTGGATTGTACTCATTCGAACTGTATTCCTGTTTGTCAAGCTATGTACTGTCAAAAATAAAGAATAAAAAAAATATAATTCTGTTCTTTCCTTTTAAGTTCACAGGTCCACTGACAATAAAAAGCTTATTTAAAGCAGAGTGAACCTGGGCACTCTGAATGAGCTGCCGTCAGCCTGTTTTGCTCTTGTGTGTTGCATGTTTCTACTAACTCATTTTTTCTTGTCTCAGAATCTCCAGCTCAACTCAGAACTGATTTCCCACTAAACTCACCGGGAATTCCTTTAGAATCTACAACTTGGATTGTTATACTCACCTTGTTCCCTCCATTTCTCCACTGGACTTCAAATATTTCCAACTGAGCTGCTGAAAGCTAAATGAACTTTCTCTTTTTTGCACTCAGCTAGAGGCAGCCAGTTTACCAGCATGTATATTGTATTTCCATATGGGAATATCTGCAGGAATCACTGACTTGCCTCAAGACTTGGGTAAATCCTTATTTTTTGTTACTTAATTACATTTGAATCTGCAATGAACTCTGTTTGTTTTCCTACTAATTGGCTAATTCATTCACAACCTATTTTTTGTTTTTCACAAGTACGGTTTTCTTTTTTGCTTTTTATTGTTCAAAATCAGATTCTGATTCAGACTGTCTGATTTAAGACATGTTTTATGTTTATTTTTTCTAATTTTTGCCAATAAAAGTCCCTGCAATTTGATATAATAATATTTTCCTGTTTGATCTGTAATGACACCAATCACTGTTTCACACAATGCTTCTATAGAAATAATCCTGCAGGCAAGTCTAGTAGCACAGCTATCTTAGTTCACAAATTGCTCTAGTTCCAACCTCTGCCAACTCTGGCGTATGGGGAAGGTTGACATATTTTCGTGAAGGACACGATTGAGAACCTACACACTTTGGCAAAAAATGCGTAAGTGGCTGGTGCCATTCATGGATGGCTGCCTGATTCTGGGTGAGGACTTTAATGTCCCCATGGAACCAACCAAAGACACCTCAAAGGGTGTCTCTGAAGTTCCCAATATATTCTGCAGAACATATGCACTGCACTCAATGACCTTAGACTTGTGGACTGTTGGAGGGCCCTCCATCCTGAGGACAAAGACTATATGTTCTACTCAGCCCCACACTGCTTACTCTAGACTGGACTACTTATTTCTCCCCCTACTATCACCTCTTTGACCTACAGCAGACTAAAATGACACTAACTTTACCCCTATACACTTTATCACTCATGACACTAACTTTATACCTGTACCACCACCAATTCAATTGAAGACTGAATAAGGCTCTGTTATCCAAGGATCTGGTTCTTCAATATGTGCAGGCCTGGCTGACCCACTACTTCTCTGAGAATA